TCAGTCACTTACAAATTAGTCTGTTTGATCACTGTTTATCCCTCAAGTAACTCATGTTTTTTTTTTTAAATTTTTATGTTCTTTTTTTTCTTTGTGTATTTAATTCTGGGTAATTTCTATTGTTATGCCATCAAGTTCATTAATCTTTTCTTCTACAGTGTTGAATTTGCTCATTTAGGGAATTTCACATAATATATTTTCATTTTCATCTCAAAGTATGATTTGAGAAAGACATATACTTTCCATGCCTCTGTGATTTTTTGAAAATGTGGAATAATAGAATAACTTGAATATCTGTGTTGATTCTAGGTTGGTTTCAGTTATTTATATTCTCTTCATTATGGCTTGTATTTTCCTGCCTGGTGATCTTTGATTGGATTTTAGACATTGTGAATATTACCTAAGGGATTCATTTCTTTTTTTATTACTGCATATTTTCTTGAGCTTTGTTCTGAAATGCTATTAAGTTACTTGCAAACAGTTTGATCCATTCTGGTCTTTGTTTTATTTGTTAGGTCCGGAGCAATGTTCAGTCTAGAACTAATTTGTTACCCACCTACTGGGGCAAGATCTTATTCTGCCCACTGCTCCATGAATTGAGTTTGTCTGGTTTGGAGGGTAGAACAGGCAGTATTCCTTGTTCCATGTGAGCAGCAGGTACTGTTCCCTTCTTTCCATTTTCTTTTCCCCTAGCCTCAGGTGGCTTCTGGTAAGTGCACTGATCAGTGTATTTTGAATGCTCAAATGATGCCCCACCCTTTGCAGATACCATGGGTTCTCTTCCTGTATATTTCTCTTCTCTAAGATACTCTGTTCTGTGAATCCTAGCTGCCTTGGTCTCTGGACTGTCAACTTAGGGAGTTACCAGGCTGTGCCTCGGTTCCCACTCTTTGTGTGTGTGTGTGTGGTTTTTTTTAGTTGGAGTCTCACCCTGTCACCTGGGCTGGAGTGTAGTGGTGTGATCTCAGCTCATTGCAACTTCCACCTTCCAGGTTCAGGCAATTCTCCTGCCTCAGCCTCTTGAGTAGGTAGGATTATAGGCATGTGCCACCATGCTTGGCTGATTTTTGTATTTTTAGTAGAGACGGGGTTTCGCCATGTTGGCTAGGCGGGTCTTGAACTCGTGACCCCGTGATCCGCCAACCTCAGCCTCCCAAAGTGCTGGGATTACAGGCTTGAGCCACTGCTCCCAGCCAGTTCCCTCTCTTTATGCCATATCTTGGAAACTTTTTCAAGGCAATTGCAGATCTAGTCTCATTTGTTTATCATCTCATGATTTATGAACTTCCATTATGTGATGTACAATGCCCTGAAAGCCATTGTTTGTTTTATTGGTTGTTTTAAGCAGGAGAGTAAACCCAGTTCATGTTACTCCATCTTGGCTAGAAGAAGTCCAACAAACACATTTTTAAACTTTTTATTGAATCACAGCTTGCCAGGAGTAAAAGGGAAAAAAATTTTTATTGAAGAATAATATATAAATAAAAAATTACAAAGTAAGTTTACATCAAGTAAGCCTAGGCTAATGTGTGTGTTTGTGTCTTAGATTTTAACAAAAAAGATTAAACAGTAAAAATTAATTTTAAAATGGGCAAACCTCACAGAATAAGGAAATAGAAAATATTTTTATACAGTTGTACAGTGTGTCTTAAGCTGTTATTTCAAAAGGATCAAAAAGTTAAAAAAATAAATTTACAAATTAAAAAAGTAAACTAAGGGTAATTTATTGAAGAAAAAGAAATTTTTTAAAAATGTAGTGTAACCTAAGTGTACAGCATTTATAGACAGTAGTGTACAGTAATGACCCAGGCCTTCACATTCATCCACCACTCACTCAGTGACTCACTCAGAGCAACTTTCATTCCTGCAAGCTCCATTCACAGTAAGCAGTACAATTTTTATCTTTTGTACCATAATTTTATCATACTTTTTCTGTTTAGGCTTGTTTAAATAAATACCATTGAATTATAGTTGCCTTCAGTTTTCAGTACAGTAACATGCTGTACAGGCCTGTGCCTAGGCGCAACAAGCTATATACCGTTTAGCTTAGGTGCGTAATGGGCTGTACCATCCAGGTTTGTGTAAATACACCCAGACATTCACACAATGACAAAATTACCTAATGATGCAGTTCTCAGAATGTATCCCTGCTGTTAAGTGACATGAGTGTAAAATGGCAAAATGGTAAATCACAGGTATTTTACAATATATATTTTTTTCAGTAGCAGGCCAGATTTGGCCCATGGGCCACAGTTTGCCAACCCTGCTCTGAAATGTGATCCCCATGAGAAGCAGTGTTATTTAATGATTAAAGCACAGACTACGTTGCCAGACAACCGGGTTTGACTGCTGGCTCTGACACTAACTTTATCTACATCCTTGGCAAGTTGCTTAACTTCTTTGAGCCTCAGTTTCTTTATCTATAAAATGAGTATAAATACTAATACCTGTTTCATAGAGTTGTTTAAGAAATAAGTTACATCAAAGTATATAGTGCAGTTCCTGGAATATGTAAGAGCTCAGTAAATGTTAGCTGTTGTCATTACTTTTTATTGGAATACCTGGAAGTATACAAAGAGAACACTTGCAGTTTTGGCTTTGTCATGGACCAGTTGGTTCATTGTTGTTAGAACAAACTGACAGTTGCTGGTACAAACCTATCTCTACTATTAGAGCAGCTTTTCCAACGTCTGTGCAAAGAAGAAATCCAAACTACACGCAGGTTTGCAACATATGCAGTAGGACTACATGGTCTGTGAACTGTAACCTCAAAGTATATAAAACTCTGATGAAATGTAATCATGTATTTTTAACTTTTTATAATCATTTTAACTTTTAATCAAGACAGTTTAAAGGTCTAAATTAATGAAGAAAATTTTAATTTTAATTTTTTGTTGAAACAGGGTTTCACTCTGTTGTCCAGGCTGGAGTGCAGTAGTGCCATTACAGCTCACTACAGCCTCAACCTCCTGGGCTGAAGTTATCTTCCCAACTCAGCCTCCCAAGTAGCTGGGACCAAGGGCACATGCCACCATGCCTAGCTAATTTTAATTTTTTTTGTAAAGATGGGGGTCTCCTTATGTTGCCCAGGCCGGTCTTGAACTACTGGCCTCAAGCAATCTGCCTCCACCTCTCAAAGTTCTTGGATTACAGATATAAGCCACCATGCCCAGCCTGCTTGGTCATTTTTATGGTGTCTTGCTCTTAGTCATATTTTCTATTTCTGCTTTAGTTTTACATTCTACATCTGTCAATTCCAATTTCTGAAATCCTTGCTGATCTGATTATATTGTTTTTGCTTGCTCTTTTTCAAGATGCCTTGTTTTTTCTGGATGTGATTCTTAACAGTAGTTTCTAGTCTCAGAACTTTACCTGTCGAAATTGAGGTCTGGATTAATGAAGGCTCCCCTAGAGCTACACTGTCCAATAGAGTAGGGATCAGCCACGTTTGGCCAGTTAAAATTAAAATTAAAATTTAGTTCCTCACTCCCTAGCCACATGCTAGGGGTTCTATAGCTAGAGGAGGGTAGTGGCTACCACACCGAATAGCACAGTTATAAAACATTTCCATCAACTCCCAAGGTGTCTGAGACGACTTTGCTCTAGAGATATTTTTCTCCTTCCACCAGGTACCAGTAGGCATCATCAGCCTGGGAAACCACTTTCAACTAGTCTTGGTTTGAGGGGTTTTTTTGAATCATGCAAGGTGGTATAAAATTGGGCTGCAAAAATAAGTGAAGACTATGAATTCTCAGGAGAGATTTTTTTTTTCACAATACTGTTGCTATGGGCCAGAAGATTATCCATGGATAATACATTCTATTCCTTTGCCCAGATGATGAGAGTAATGTTGCAGTTACCAGACCCAATTCAGAAAGTTCCTGTGTGCTGAGTGAACCACACCCTTTGGTGTTACCGCGAGTGCCACAGTCTAAGGTACTGTCCATTATCTCAAATCCGGTAAGCCCCAGAGGGATCAGCTGGAGACCTCAGAGCTACTCTCACCAGAGGAAATTTGCTCAGTTGTTTGCCTTGCTTGTATGATTTATGACTTCATACTTTTTAGTACAGTTATGTGTTTATCATAATAATCCAGTGGCTCTTTGCATTGGTCAGTTGCAATTTAAAATATTAATAGCAAATTAGAGTTGATAAATACTTCTCAGTCAGCTCTTCTGAGGAGGTATCCATAAGTTGTACAATCTAGAATTAACCATGTGGTCAGCCTAAGTCTGTTTTGGGAAGAATGGAGGATAATAAAAAGGACTCATCTTAGATTCTCTATGGCCTTTACATCATGCTTTGAATGCCTCCTTCCTTTTGGCTTTTTCCTTCCTTGTTCTCTCAGCCTGGCCCACCTGTTCATTTTTTATTTATTTTTTTGAAACAGTCTCTCACTCTGTCATCCCAGACTAGAGTGCAGTGGCAGTAATCTCAGTTCACTGCAACCTCTGCCTCCCAGGTTTAAGCAGTTCTTGTGCCTCGGCCTTCCAAGTACCTTGGATTACAGAAGTGTATGTGCACACTTAGCTGATTTCTGTATTTTTAGTACAGACATGGATTCACCATATTTCCCAGGCCGGTCTCAAACTCCTGGCCTCATATGGAGGGAGGGAGGGAGGGAGGGAGGGAGAGGGAGAGAGGGAGGGAGGGGGGGAGAGAGAGACAGAGAGAGAGAGAGAGAAAGAAAAGAGAAGAAAGAAAGAAAATATTCTAATCTATTTAGGCCACGGATTTTACTACCAGATCTAGTTTTTGTTTTTTCTGGTTTTACTAAACAGGTATTTAAAAAGAAAATAAGGCCAAGGTGGGTGGATCACTTGAGGCCAGGCATCTGTAGTCCCAGCAACTCTAAGGCTGAGGCAGGAGAATCACTTGAACCTGAGAGGCAGAGGTAGCAGTGGGCTGAGATTACACCACTACACTCCAACCTGGGTGACAGAGCGAGACTTTGTCTCAAAAAAAAAAAAAAAGAAAAAGAAAAGAAAAGAAAAGAAAATTAGGAAGGCTCATGAGTCATCACACCAGGTATGAACCAGGTAAATTAATGTTCCTTTGGTGGGGATAAAGCACTTCTGCATGTTGAACTGGTGTGGCCATGGTTTAGTAGCCTAAGCCGTGAATAAGCAGACATTCTGGTTGTTCATGATCTAAGGAAGGAGAAGAGTTAATTCAAACATTCTGAAGAGAAAGAGGAAGGAAAATACATTCTATAGCAGTGGAGATGGCCAGAAAAGGTAATGAGCTGATGATCTGAGAAAACAAGCAGGGGTCTAGGATGGCAGTGCCAGTCTAAGAAACATTACCTCCTGCTAAAATTAGAACAGATAAGCTTACCTCCTAGTACAGTGTCTTTAGGATTTAGGTTACCGAGAGCTGACATGCTCCACAGGTAGTGAAAGAGGAATTAGTATGTACATAGTGCAGGATTGTGTGATGATGAATGAGATCAAGTTAGAGTTTCCCCTTATTATTTTCTATTATTGTTCCATATTTTGTCTGAGTTTTCTCTTCTACTATAAGGTAAACAATAATAATAATAAAGGTTCTCACTCCCCATGAGAGGGCTGTTAATTGTTTTCATCCAGAGTGATCAGGCTTCCCCTACCTGCTATCATTTAGGAATGGAGAGGAAAGGAGGGACCTTATCACATGGACAGCTGACTTGGGGCCCCAGCTAAGGTACCCGAGATATCATAAAAATTAAAGCACAGGGAAAAAGTATACATAACCAAATTGAAAATATTAACTTTTGGCAAGGTTGGGAAACCAAACAGGTATCTTCTCCAACCAATCATGAGTACTGTCTTCTTTCGACATGTAGATGAGTCTCTGTCAAGCAAGCAGTCATCAGCCAAACATGAATGGTCTCTTGGTTCATGGGATGCCTCTACAGCCAAGAAATCTCTCCCTAATGGACAAGCTCCTGTAAGAAGTTCAACATTTTCAGACTATAGAGTGTAAAAAGGAAACAGAGGAAAGGAAAATCAATTCATCAGTAGGCATTTATTGAGTGCCGACCAAGCAACCACAAAAACACAAAAAAACAAAAATACTCCACCCTCAGGGGGCTGATAATATAACTGGAAAGAGAAGACATACCTGGGTAAAGAGAGTCCTAACCATATGTGACATTTTTGTGACTGAGTGCCATGTGTGTGCTGTCCAAAATGAGTGCTATGACAGCCCCAAAGCATTCTGGTGGGTAAGTGTTGGTTTGGAAGTTGTCCTTGAAAGATGGGGCTTTGGATAAGCAAAGGAGAGCAGCAGGGGAATTCTAGGTAGAAGGAATGATATGGGGAAAGGTTTGGAGATAGGAAGATACAAAATATTTAGGAGAGATAGCAGACCATTTTTGATATAAAAGGATGGAAGATGGGTCAGAACTTTAACATTTCTGAAGAAAGATAATTGGCAATCTTCCAGAATTAAAATAGGCCATGGTGTGATTAGCAAGAAAGAAATGATTATGGAACTTATAAATGTTAGGACCAGATTGTGGAGGGTTTTGAGTGTCATGTTTTGTGATTCATCCACATTGTTTCATATGACCTGTTGTCTTGCTGAGAAGTATTCATAAGTACGCATGATTTATCTATCTGCTCTCCTGTTAATTCACATGTGGATTGTTTCCAGGTTAGAGGTATTACATGTAAAGGTACTATAAATATTCTTGTGTGTCTTTTTTGTGGTTTTACGGTCTCATTTCTCTTGAATCGATTCCTGGAAGTAAAAGGGTCACAGGACAGGTATATGTTTAGTTTCACAGGAAACTGCCATACAGTTTCCCAAAGGAGTTGTACCATTTTACACTTCTTCCAGCAATGTATGAGTTTTGGTTTGGCAGCACATACGGTATATTTAAATCAGGAATTTGAAAAGTCGACTTCACAGCAGTGGCACATGGATTGGATGGAGTGGAAGGGACTAAAGGTAAGGGGTCAGTGCAGGAGTCCACACACGAGCTGTTAAGGGTGTGCACTCAAGTGACCACACAGGGTGAGAAAGGAGTGAGTTATTTTGGGAGATGTTGTCAAGTAAGTGAAATTACATAGAAATAGAGGAATCAGTCATCTCAGATTGCAAGCTTGAGAGAAGCCTGTTTTGGTGAAAAAGATGGGTTTCTTCTGGGGGAAAAGATGGGCCATCTCACTGGAAATGTGGAAGAGATGAGATCTGGAAATTGACCTAAAAGTCACCTGGCTAGAGATCATAATCAAATCTAGACGTTCACAGAAAAAATAAAGGTGAACATAAGGCAGCTAAAGCCTAAACTTTTGTAATTAGAAAGCAGTTAGGGTGTGTTTTAAAAAAAAAAAAGCGTAAATGAATTGCTAGAGAGGCAGGAAGACCAAAATAGTTTAGTCCTATTCCTTGACGGGCAGCATCCCTTCAAAGTCCTCCAAGCACGGGGCCATTTTGCACTAGAGGACACCAAAGTGGCCTGAAAGGTTAAGGAACTTGCTGAAAGCTGTAGGAGCAAATGGCAGAGCTTAGCTGCTTTATTCTTTCACTTCCCTTCCATTTCACTGTTCAGATACCCTTCAGATGTCTTTTTTTTTAAGACAGGGTTTCACCATGTTGGTCAGGCTGGTCTTGAACTCCTGACCTCAGGTGATCTGCCCGCCTTGGCCTCCAAAGTGCCTGGATTACAGGCGTGAGCCACCATGCCCAGCCTTAGATGTCTTAAAATAGTCAAATGTCCTCTCATTTGCTTTAAAACACAAAATACACCTGAATCTGTAGGGCAGTATTTAAGCTAATGAACTGTTTAGGTGTAGTATTTTATTTATTGGAACACTTACAGAAAAGGGTTGTCTTTCAGTTATTTATGCAGATGGGGTTACTGTGGTCCCACACCTCTGGCTCTGGGCAGCACAAGACCCTTTGCCCACTCCCAGCTTTCCAAGGAACCCAAACCCAAATCCCTGCCAGCTCCAACTTGCTCAGCACTTTAATCGCCACATTGGGAGCCACACTGACACCACAGCTACTGCCAAGCACCCGTATTTGTCTTTCAGATAACAATCTTTCAGCACAAAAGAATGCCTTAGAGTAGGAATCAGCCCCTGTGACAAATTTTTGGGAAGCACTTTGGAGTAGGCGTCCTTCAGGCTTGCCTTCACTGGTGACTAAAAGTGACTGTGATGGCAGATGAATAACAGACTTGCTTTCCCAAATGGCCATTCTAGAAAACTATGTTTATGATTGAAATAATGTCCTACTTTTAAGAACAGATTCTCATGCCTGAGCTACAGTACCATCTGGAAACTAGGTTACTTACTGAAAGGTTTTTATTTTTGCTTTATTTTCCCCTAAGTGTAGTTTCTAGTCTAAGGCTTTAACCCATGAGTCTTGTCTTTGTTTACATAGAGATCTTTACTTCATTGTGGGTTTCTGATTTGGCTACTAGAGATCTTGATGACAAGCTACTACTGAGGCCTGGGTCCAGTACCATCCTTTCAACTCGAAATTGGCCAAATCGAGCTGTGGAGTTTAGTACATCATCTCTGTCATACACAGTGCAGTCCGCCAGGAGACGCAATCCACCACCACGGACCCTGCATCCGATCAGCACCAGCCATTCATGTGCTGGAACACCAAGACCTGTGGAAGAAATCCTCAGAGGAACCCGAGTGTAGGTTTCAAAATCAGAACTTCTGGAAACTGTGGTAAAACTAATGCATTTTACATACAGCGTTAATTAAAACATAAGACTAAAATCTATGCCTAGAAACTAATAATTAAGTAGTCTTATGACAGACTGCCCATATTTTTTAATGGGATTAAATTTTATTTTACTTTATACTTTTTTTTTTAGATACAGCCTCACTCCTGTTGCCCAGGCTGGGGTGCAGTGGCATGATCACGGCTCACTACAGCCTCAACTTCCTGGGCTCAAGTGGTTCTCCCGCCCCAGCCTCCCAAGTAGCTGGGATCACAGGTGGGTGCCACCATGCCAGGTTAATTTTTTGTGTTTTTAGTAGAGACATGGGTCTTGTCATGTTGCCCAGGCTGGTTTCAAACTCCTGGGCTCAAGCAATCTGCCTGCCCTAGTCTCCCAAAGTGCTCAGATTACAGGTGTGAGCCACTGCGCCCGGCTGGGGTTAAATTTTAATGAAATAGATATTGAATCTTTCTGCTGATCTAGCTAAAGACTTCTATGTCTACTTGTAAAAATAAAATGTTGGCTAGAATACTATATTGGGGTTACAAAAGGAATAAAGAACCTATTATTTAATCAAATGTTTTTTGTAGTGGGAACATCTTCAGTGAAATTTCACCCCAAAATAATAGTTAATTCCCCTTTAAGGTTTTTCTGTACCATTGGGATCTGCTTATTCATTGACAATGAAAACTTTATAAACCTCAGATAAGTAGTTGCTTATATACCAGGAAAAATATCCCTTAGCACTTCTTAGGAAGTGACACTAAAAATAATCCATTTCCTTTATGCACTTTACACTCTGAGCCTCGTCGTGTAACAAATACCTAGGAGCCAATTTTAAACACAGAATTATTTTAGCTGTTGATTCACAAACTTAGGATGATTTGTTTCTAAAAATATAACAAAGGTATGAGATAATAAGGCCACAACAGTGTTTTCAATTCAGCCTCCAAGTTAAGCATTATTATGTGGATGTAGCTTTATCTATACCAACAGAGCTATAAATTCACTCATTTGAGGATGAGTAGTCTTGATGTATAATTAATCTCTCATTCCATCTGATAGTATTTTTTTTCAAAGTTGAAAAGTAAGTTGCTTTGTTACTTCTGGGTCATGAAAAGTATCATTCAGTTTCACTTACTGTCTTAAGTATGAGGAATACTGAAAGCTACTCCAGATCCTACTGAAGGGAATGAAGGTTTAGGAACTGTACCCAAGAACTGTAGTTATTAGGGAGAAGAATAACCAGAAGGTCCAGAACTGTCAAGAATTCCATCATCAGCTGGGAATTTACAAATCCAAATCAGCAGAGAAGTACAATACCAGATAGGGACAAATGTTTTATTCCAGTTACGTGGGAAAGAAAAGGCCAACTTCTGTTGTGTGCCCAGTATAGAGCTTCAAAACAAAATCAGCACTATTTAAAAAACTCTAATTTTCTAAAATCCTGAGATCTCTACTTAAAAACATAGGCAGCCTAAAGCTTTCTGTGCACATTAAATTCATCTGCTTCATTTATCTGATTTCTAATCAATTTGCTGGTATTGTTGTAACTTCATGCTTTCATACCTTCATGTTTGTTGGTGGGATCTGTAGCCCGGTGGCAGCTGACTCGCTCTCCTCTCCCTCACCAATGTCCCTGAGTCGAAATAATCTGCTACCACCTATTGGCACAGCCGAAGTGGAACATGTGAGCACTGTGGGGCCACAAAGACAGACGGTATGTTTCTTTCATATTGCCTCTCCATGTGCTTACTATCCAGCTTCATGGGCAGTAATTCTGCAAGATTTGCGCTCTGATCTTGATTTATACTGTATTTTGTCAAAAGTACAAACTGAGTGCTAATTTATGACGTGGAATTGGAGCTGCTTGGCCTGCACGTACCGTATCTGCAGGTTTGATAGGGTTTTAACTACATACCACACTACAGATAGTTTTCACAGTTTCTGTAACTTTTGTCTCTTCTGCAGAAACCCCATGGCGATTCCAGTAGAGCTCGAAGTGCAGTGGTGGATGAGCCTAACCATCAGCAACCCCAAGAAAGGCTCCTTTTGCCTGACTTTTTCTCCAGGCCCAGCACAACTCAATCATTTTTGGTACAGTGACATAGTTCCTAGAATGGTCTGGATAGTGGGGAAAGAAGAAGTCGGGGGGATACTAGTTTGGCAGACTTAAGACTTTATCTAGAGGCTTAACTCAGAATGAAAGTTGAGTTTCCAACAATAAAAACAGTATCCTAACTGGTCCCTGACACCTA